TTAATCAACTATAGATATCCCTCAATGCTGTCCACATTGGTTGGAAAATTTTACAAATCAAAAGGCTTACCAATAAAATTTTTGGGTTCATCAAAAGTGAGTAACCCAGCAACAAAATAGTTGGGTTTCATAACAGTCATCCCCATAGCAATCACAAAATCATCAACCATTTTATCAGATATTTCAAATTCTAAAACCAAGTGACATCCACATTATGATATACAGAACCGCAAATCCACCAATATAGACAAACTCTTTACTCATTGCAATAAATATGCATTTAGCTATATCCCAAAGCAATCTGATGATATTCTGAACCACAAATCCCCCAATATAAACAAACTTTTTAACTCATGGCAGTAAATATATATGTTGTTGATACCTCAAAGAAATCTGTATTGACTCAGCAAGCTTACCAAGATGATTTGTGGGTTCATCGAGCAACAATATGGTGGGGTCCATGAATAGTGCCCTTGCTAGAGCAATCCTCATTCTCCGGCCACCAGAAAAATCTCGTGTTTTCTTAGCTTGCATCTTCTTGTTGAATCCAAGACCATATAAGATCTCAGCAGCACGCTTCTCGGCAGTTGATGCATCTAGTGCATCCAAACGTTCATAAATGCGATCAAGTTGTTCACCACCACCGTCATCCTAAGACCAAAATAAATGCTAAATACGCACTTCCCGAAATGCTTCCATTTCTAGAGCACTACCATTCTTTGGGTCAGATTAGTCATACCTGTCCAGCCAAGGCTTCAACTTCTTTCTCCAATTTCAACCTTTCTTCATCACAACTTATGACAGCCTCAAGAGAAGACATGTCAGAAGCTTCAATCTCCCGAGTAAGATGAAAAATATCCATGTGCTCTGGAATGGGAAGTTCTCGGCACCCAACTTCAGAAAGAAGAGTAGACTTCCCACATCCATTTAGCCCAAGTAAACCATATCGTCTGAAAATAAGGAGTATCAAAAATAGACTATGGAGATTTAAAGACATAATACAGCACAACATCCTGGAGTTGTGAAGTGTAAAAAACACCTGCCGTAATTAAGTTCTAGTTCAGAATCAACAATGAGCTTAATTGTTATCCAAGACTGTAGTCTCAGCAAAATTGTAAGAATATAGTGGATGATATTTGTCCATGTGAAAACGTCAAATGTAGATGGTGATCCGATAACAAAAGAGACTACACGTGCAAATAGCTTAATTGTTAACATAGAGATATACGTAAAATATTTATTCATTGTGTTATCTAATTTAACCTAGCTAGGAAAACGCTTTCGACGGGGATTAGATCAAGAAACGAGAAAATGAAACATAAAGGTGTTTTAACTTTTCCCTCAAGTGTCAGCATGTTAGTCTGCTTTCCAAAAATGAGACTAGACTGGAGATTGGCGTGGAAGGTGGACCATTTTCAATAATGTTGTTGTATCATTTATTCGAAGAAACAAGAATGTCCAAGAAAATATCTAATAACTGGCCGATGTTAATACATTAAGAGGAGGGCCAGCTTCAATTATGTGATTATCAACTTTTTTTGCACTTTATTATTCTTTCTCATTTATTTTATTATTTTTTATATAATATATGGGACCCTTTATTTCAACTTTTTCATTATAAATAAAAGTTGGGCAGGAACACAATGATATTTATTTGATACAACCAATGATATTTATTTGGATAGACGTGGAGATTGATACAACATCAGATTTTCTATATTACACGTGTTTAGATAGAGACCAATAAGTCAAGAATAATAATTATATATATTTCCAATTTATTATACTACATTTGGAATGGTTATGAAAATTATATAAATTGTATTTTTTTTTTTCATTTTCTTCCTATTCTTCCTTATTTATTTATTTATTAAATTTTTTATTTTTTATTTTTCTCATGTGAAATGCTAATCTATTTTTGAAAAAGTGTTTAATTCAAGACGTATAATATAACTACTTTATTAAAAAATTATTAGTTTTTCAAACACGATTGATAAGAACTTGTTCGTTATGAATTAAATAGTTCTTTTTTTTTAAATTTATTTTCTCATGGGAAATGCTAAACCTTTTTTCTGATTATGTTGTTTAAATTACATTAAGTACGTAGAGATTTATTTTTCTCTTTCTTCTATTCAAAATTTTAAATCCATGGCGATTTTTTTATTTTTTTTTATTTTTAAAGAACTCTCTTTTATTGTACCGCAAAGATTTGGTGGACTACGTATAAGAATTTTTATTCTTATTACGTTGTTTGAGTTCGAATATGGTTGAAGGGCAACAAAAATAAATCCACTCGTAAAATAGTACAAGATATAAAATAAGAAAAAAAAAAATACAGCAGGTTCATCAGCTTATCAAATTGTAATTAAACAAGTATTCAACTTTTAATTCGTAAACATTTAAATCTTTAACGAATTTCCATTCATGAATGAATTTTGGTTGGCATGGATCGAGATGAGGGTGTACAGGAGTTGAAGAAGATAAGAGGTTGTTCTCTTTGTATTTTGAATTCATTTGTTGTTGTGTTTTGAGTGTCCATTTTAAGAACGTTGAAAATGTGTTCTTTTTGGCATTTTGAAAATACTCAAAACGTGTTTTCAAAATTTTGATTTAATTATAACTGAAAATACCAAAAGCGACAATGGGTTTTCTTTGTAAATTTTTATCTTATTTTCAAAAACGCGTTTTCAAAAATGGGAATGAGAACGCCTTTTCACTATTTTGAAAAATCGAAAAGAAAATTGTTTGAAAATGGTGATGAGAACATGCCCTAAAAGTTTCCTTTTTGTTTTTATGAAAAGTTGAGAATTTGAACATCGAGAATTAAAAGCTAAAGACTTCTTTGCACAAATTTAATAAATTGGGGACCTCCACTGCAATTAAACTGTTGACCGCTCATATCAAAGGAGTCGAAGTATCATTATTATATGCAAAAATTCTTATTAATTTATTTAGTTTTTATATATTTCATATTACAAAAAGAATAATTTAAATTTAAACTGAAACACTCGATCACGTGCAATTCGAATCCATTATTTCATCTTAAGATTAGAATTAAAATCTCGCTCTATCCATTTATGAAAGTCATGTGCATTCAAGGTCTTTTGGTAAAAATATGAATGCATGGCTTGCACGTGGATAGAGGTGGCAATGGTCGAGTGCACAAGTTCACTCGTGCTCGTAACGAGCTGAACGTGCGCTCCCCTTAAGCTCGCGACTCGTGGGCCTAGTCGAGTTTCGACTCGCGAGCTTGTAATTTTTTTTTTTTTTTAAAAAGGATAAACCCCACGCCTTGGACTCGTGGGTGAGCTGCCAGCTCGGCTCGAGCTCCACGGGCCGAGCAGCCAAGCGGACGAGCCGCTCGGCCGTTTGCCACCACTACACGTAGAGATGCATAGAAGATACAATTTAGCCCATTGTTTGATAATCATTAAAATGAGTATTGAAATAGTATTTTTTGAAGAATGTGTTGTAAACTGTAAGAAAAAATTTTGAATTTACGTGCAAAATATTTTATTGTGAGAATCTGTGGAACATTTACTTAAACTCGTTTTTTTAAAAAAAAACAAGATTTATTTTATTGGTTGTCAAACAAGAGCTTAAAAAATTAATAAGTTTGTCAATTTTCTAATAACATAAGTTCGTTAATAATGTATCTCAACATTATATTATTTAATGCTTGTCATATTGTTGGAGAAATTTAATTTAATTTCATAAAGTAGTTCAACATTATATTATTTCAAATTGAGCGTCGCGACAATTGTCTAAAATTGAAAGGCAAAACGTGACAAGACGTTTCATGGTTGCATCAAACTTCAACCACGTGCACTGGTCTCCCCCATATTAACACCATAGTCCCCATAGTCAATCTCTCTCTCTCTCTCTCTTCTCTGAGGTCTAGACTAATCGTAACGTCGTACCCTATATATAATCAAACCTGACAAGCAAAGGAAATGCAAAGAGAAAAGAAAAATAAATTCAAGAAAAAAGAAATGGCAAAGTCTAGAGCAAATGGCAAGACAAAGAGTGGAATTGTAAAGCTTAAGACAGCAATAGAAAAGCTACAAAAAAGTCTACTGTCAAGCAAGAAATCTCCCTCGGAACAAGTTGATGTTTACGAAGAAAACTCCGAGTCTTTAAACGTGCCAAACGATGTTAAGGAAGGACATTTTGCAGTGATTGCAGTGGATGAAAATGAACTGAAAAGATTCATAATTCCACTTACTTTCTTAACACATCCATCATTCTTGAGACTTTTAGAACAAGCTGCTGAAGAATATGGCTTTGATCATGAGGGTGCATTGACAATTCCTTGCAGGCCAAGCAAGCTTGAGCAAATATTGGCTGAGCAATGGGGGGAGGAAAGGGGATCTTATTGGTACTGTTAATTGGGGTTCATGTAGAAAGACTATGGTGAAAAGCTTCTAAAAGTATAGCACCAAGTAATTTAATTCACATAAAACATGTCCTATCCCTAGAGACATTCATTGTTCTCCTTATCATGTAAGCATTTTGTTTAATGATATATATCTTTAATATAATTGATTATTTTTGTTGTTCGAGTTTAAGATGTTGAAACTTAAGTCATTAGGGTTTTCGTTCTCCCGAGGGAACGGAGATTTAATGTATTTTAATGCATTATACAATTAATCAAGTGGTTCACTGTCATTTAAATGGCTGACAATAATCACTAATGATGAATAATACTGGTCGTGAGGTTATGGTTTCTTCCAGGGGCGGACTCAGGATTATTCTTCAGGGAGGTGAGACATAATGACTAAAAAATAATTTTAAACAATAAAGATAATATTCAAAATATAATACTTTTTTTACAATTGTTCCTTACGACTTCTCATCCTTTGAAAACGCCGTATAATAGTCTCGTTAGTAATTTCATTAAATGCATCTTTTTCAACGTACACAACTAAACTATCATTCATCCATTGTTCTTCAATCTAATTATGCAGTTGATTCTTCACAATATTCATAGCAGAAAATACTCTTTCAATTGTAGCAGTAGCAACCGGAAGAGTTAATCCTAAAGTCACAAGCATGTAAACTAAAATATACACTTTATTTCTTTTGGTCACAACTAACTTCAATGCAAGTTCACCAAGTTCCTTCATTTCTCTAAACTCTTTGTTAGAGCGCATATCAAGAATATAGTTTCGAAACTGATCATCAAGTGCCATGAGATTTGCTTTTGAAAAATCTTTAGAATAATACTTAACAAAACGAATTAATTTATCATTGTCAAAAGCGGAGAATGAATCATCGGGGCATAAACATGCTAAACAAAGGAGTAACTCTATACTTATCTCAGAAAAACGATCATTCAATTCTTGAAGTTTCATATCAATGACAGAATAATAAAAATTCACATGGAAGCGATGAAAATTTGTCATTTCTTCAGTATTACGTCTTGAGCGACCTAGGCATACAAACACACTATCCATATCAGAAACATCAATATTATGTTGTTCACAAAAAGAAATGACTTCATCTAAAAAAGAAGCTCACGCATTGTCCCTCGTCTTTTGGAGTCTCTGTTTGCATACTGACACTAAACTCATGATATTTATAATATCCTGATTTTTTCTTTGTAATGTCTTAGACAATTCATTTGAAATCCCTAAGATGGTTCTCATAAGATGTAGATTAAACACAAACTCAAAGGACTGCACTGAGTCCAATAAATTATCGGCCTCGCATCTTTGCTCACGTGTTGATCCATCAACCGAAATCATTTCAATGACATCAATTATAGGTGAGAATATCAAAATCAAACTAATCAAAATACGATAATGCAATCCTCAACGTGTCTCACCAAAACGCACAATAGTAGTTTGTTGATTAAGACCCCGTCCACTTGAAATCTCACCATTACTGAGTGCTTCAGAAATTATGGCTTTTTGTTTCTTTCGAAGAATATCACAATGTTTAGAAGAAGCTCCAACAATATTCACCACGCTAGAAACCAAATTAAACAGTGACTGGACTTTCTTGTGCTTCTTTGCTATGGCTACAAGAGCTAATTGTAGTTGATGAGTAAAACAATGAATATAAAAGGCACTTGGATTCTCTTTTAAAATAAGTGTTTTCAGACCATTGAACTCACCTTGCATATTACTCGCCCCATCATAACTTTGACCTCTCAACCAGATATACTCAACCCATATCTTGAAAATAATTTATCTATAGCCGCTTTGAGTTATAGAGCTGTAGTACTGGAAATATGTTCAATCCCAATAAAACGTTCACCCACATGTCCCGTATTAATCTCTTCGTTATGATTAGCTAGAAACTTCAACTATTCAAGAAAGTTACATTGGTTATTTGACTCATCACACTCATCATGACCACGAAAAACTTGTCCTTGCGTAAAAGAAGTCGAACACAATCAATGGATGCTTTCAAACGAATTCGATATATACTTTTGGCTTGTTTTGACTGCTTGAAGAAAACTGTCTCAATATGTTGCTCTTGATTCATCAAGGCTTCACAGTTGCTTCAGGCTTGATTGTGTGCACTATGGACGTCTCCAACATGAACTCCAAGTCTATCCTTTTTTTAAAAATTTTGAAATCCTTCTTTCACAAAAGCATCACCACCTCCTTGTTCTCCATTGTTTGGTCAAAAAAGATAACAATAAAAGCAAAATGCAGCATTCTTACTTATACTGTATTCTAACCAATCACCATATTCATTGAACCAAGTAGGAATGAATCGCCTCGATTTTTTACGTGGAAACACATGGCTTTGAGGCTGACACGGACCTCTCTGCAAGTATGCTCTTCTTATTTGATCTTGAAGATTAACATTGTAATCCATTATTGGAATTCTTAATCCTGGATCCGTTGGAAGTTGTGCAATATCAATATGTTCAATACTTGCTTCTTTTGCTTCATCATTCTCTTAGGGAAAACGAGTGTCATCAATACTTGCTTTCTTTGCTTCATCATTCTCTTGGGGAAAACAATTGTCATCAATACTTGCTTCATTTGCTTCATCATTTTCTCCAATAGTAGCATCCTCAACCATTGCTTCCTTTGTCTCGACATTTTCTTCAATAAAAATTTCATCAATGCGTTGTTTCTTTGCCTCAACATTTTCTTCAATAGAATTTTGAGATATTCGTTTAAAAAATCTCAACATATCTTCCTACAATTCAAACAAAGAATGCATAAATATATCATTAGTGAAATGGCAATGGTAAGATAACAATGATGATCATTAGTCATTAGTAGCTTCAATTTATTTTCCCACAACTGGATTTCAATGGCATGAATATTGTACAAATACAATAAAGTTATCTACTTATCTAGCTTCCTGCTTCCTTCAGGCTTCATCAATGAGGAAAATATGTAAAATCTACTTTCTTTTTATAAATCCACTCGCAAAAGACAATAGATAAGGTTCCACTCCACAACTTCACACCATAGTCATTACTCATTACTCACATTCACCCGAACATTGTCCTCCCCAGTCCTCAGTCCTCACTTATGCATACTAAAGGAGAATCCCCCACTTAACCTTGTTAATAAAGCCAATCACAATTCACAACTCTTGTTTTTCTTAAAATCTACATTCTATTAAAAATGCATCAAGATTTATCATGTCTTCAGTAACAGATCTTGACCTCAACCGGCAAAGCTCGCAAAAGTTCGCTTCATGTCCAATATTCCTTTTATCGATATCAATTTCAGATTAAGTGCAAACAGAAATTTAAAACATATTCTGCTCAGACTATTCAAGAAACTTTCACTCACTAAATTATACCTTGTGTCTAAGTTCTAACTGTCAGTCTTGGACTCTCGTGAATTGATGCAGGGGAGAAACGAATTGAGCAGCAGCAGTCGATTCTGAACTTTTAAGGACGCCAAAGGACTGACTTGTACTGCGAAGTGCGAATGCTCGCTGGGAAGAATCACGCCAGTCGCTGTCTTCAGTCGGAAGAATTTGGGGAATGAAAATGATTTCAATTGGGAACAAGAGGAGGGAATTGGGGGAAAAGGGAAAGGGAAAGGGAATTGGGCTTACTTCAAAAGACGGGCTTGGGTTGGGTGGTTGGATGGGCTTCTTTTTTTTTTCAAGAATTTTTTTTTTTTTTTGCACAATGGGCGATAGAAGGCCAATTTTTTTTTGGCCCACTGGGGGCGGACTGGGCCCTTAATGGGTCTGCCCCTGGTTTCTTCAGAGTTGGTACTAAGTCCTTGTTTAACAATCATTATTTATAAACTCTTTTTTCCACGTACTCATTTTCAATCATACATTCATAAAATAAAATATTCTACATGTAAGTCAATTTTTTTTTTTAACTTTTTAATCACACATTATTTTAAAAATCATTATTCTAAACACTGTTTTTTCTAAAATAATGGTTGTTCTATTTATAGATTCGTCCTTGTTTGTGTAGCTGGGGAAGTGGGGACTCGTTAGGAAGCAAAAGTCCCGTTTAGTACCATCAACGAATTGACTTGCAGCTTGACCCTAAGTCTCATTTAGGGTATTATGCCCGACACGGGTGGGGCCAAGCCCAGTATTTTTTTTTTTTTTCAATTTTTGAAATTTTTTAAAGAGGAAAATTTCCAAGTGTCGTTTTAGCTATAAAGGTACTGAAAATCTTATGGATATAATCCAAGCTCCAATGTCCAAACTCAAACCTAATCAACTTTCAACCAATAGAAAGCTTCGAGTCAATTCACTAAAGTTTGTCACTGTAGCATTCAATTAGGGGCTAATCGAATCATTTTGTAATCAGATAACATATGTGAATTACTGTACTAAATCTTTATTTTGTTTATTTTCAAATTTCTAGTTAACTATTTTTCGAAAATAAATTTAAACCTGAAAAAATATTGATTAAATTGTTCGCAGGAGTACTAACGATTAGTTATGCTTGGTTTGATATTACTGTGACTTTAAGATAATCGACTTTTGCTAAAGAAAGAATCGGTATGGAAAGAATGAGTTATGTCTTCGGTAAACTTTTATTTTAGAATTGTTGTGTTTAATCAACATTTTAGCATTTTGTAATAAACATATATATAATTACTAATATGAATGAATATCGATTATAATGATATTCTTTTATATTACATCATTAGTAGGGACGGACCTAGCACCCGGTCAGGTGGCGCGGCTGGGCTTGCTGGGCTCTGCTGGGCCGCCAGAGCAGTTGGGATTTACTTCTCGGCAGCTTTTGTACCTGCTGGTTTGTCTTCTTTATCAGAAACCTCTTTTTTTATGTTTTTTGTTTTGAAATTGGGCCAATTTGGCCCAACCCCCCCTTTTTTTTTTTTTGTAATTGGATTGAGCCATTTGTTATGCATCTAATCCTTAATTATATAATATATAGGACAATGGCAAATCTCATTCTCCTTTCGCC